ATATGCTTAAACTAGCATTTGATTGCTGCAAGGAATACCTTATCGTTTATATTACAAATGCAAGTGGAAACTAAGCTAATTCATAAAAAGGAGATCACATGGAGATTCCTGTTTTAATGTTAGATTTGTATACATTTTCATTTCTTATCCGTTTTATAAGAGAGCTATTACTATCCTTCAGGATGCTAGGCATGGAATTGGGGATTATGCAGTGTACCTGTTCTTATGTAAAATTGTTAAAATACAAATTAAAAAGAAAAATATTATTTTTCAATACCCATACATTCCCGCGAGGAATAGAAATGCACATGTGATGCATTTTCTTCAGGCTAAGCTTGTTGACAGCAACACCATAAAACAAACCCACTCCTCCAAAACTTGTTCTCAGAGAAAAACAAAGCCACTTCCCCCATCGAAATTCCTTCAAAAATCCAAGAGATCCTCCATTTAGACGAGTGTTTCTCAATCTCAGAACCTTTAAGCTGTGTGGACTTCAGCTCCCAGAATTCCTCAGCCAGCAGTTGAAGTCCACGCATCTTAAAGGCTCTGAGTTTGAGAAATGCTGATTTATACCATACTTGATGCTCTTTCTATATCAGATTGTTCTATAAGTCTTGACTTCCTGCCATATTATTATTTAAACAACCAAGCTACTATTCTTTAAAAGCCACTGGGCCTGACAGGAGTTAATGTCCCAAGTAACCAGTAAGAGCTCTTAATAACCTGCTTTTTGGCTCAAGTCTGGTTTAGGGTTTGTGTCAGGGATGTCTGCTGGGGGGGAGGGGGTGTCAAAAACGTCAAGATCATATAGTTGTGGCCACTGCCTTGACTTTTTTGACCCCCCTCAGGGGATGTTATTAAATTTAATATCAGGTCCCTAAACGTGCCATTGATATTAGTTGAGATTAATCATGACACCCCGTCTGAATAGGTAAGTTCTTAGTTCCTTATATATTAGGGACGGTATAAATAAGTATAGGATCTGTATTACAGTTTCAATACCAGTTATCCCGGCCAAGAGAGATGTCTTTGCGAGCATTGTCAAAATGTACCAACAAGCCTTTCCCAGGCCACATCTTTACGCTTGTCCAAGCCCTATTAAATAGGCTGGTGCATTATTTGATATGAATAGGAATCATAGCTCTATCCAGAACACCAGCTGAAATTCACACACGCCGCGTTGTGCAGCTGGGGGAAATGATTCATATTTTCAGCTATTGTTTCTTTTCTATTTGAATAAAAGCTATCAATTTCTCCTTGAGAAAAGCATGAGGGAAGGAGGGAGAGCAGAAAGCTTTGGTACAAAGCATTTTTTGGGAAAGAGCAGGGAGAATACAGATCTGTAGCCAAACACTGATGTTTAACTTTTTCAAGGTTATGTAAGACTTCTGTTCGGTGCTTATGAAAAAGAGAACAGAAAGGTTATGGCTTCTGTTTGTCCTCCTGGCCATTACATTTTATCTGTGGGTTTACAGCTGCTTTAAAATTCAGGGTATCCAGTACTGTTCTATAAAACTCTGTTGTGTAAGCCTTAAAGACCTTTCATGTATTTATCAGAAATTTCTAAGCCAAAATCTGAATGCAGCCATCCACCCATTGCAAAGGACATCTGAAAAGGTGCTTAAAGGCTATGATAGTAAGGAAAAAAAGTCATGATGTATAGCTGCCTACAAAACTTTGCGCCTCTGGTCCTCTCTCATAATGCTTTCATTTAAAATACTTTTTTCTTTTCATTCTTCAGTCAGAGGAGCACCTACTGAATCCTGCTGGGAAGAAATCTTATTGTCTTTAAAGATATGATTGATTCTTGCAGATGGACTGGAAAAGTTTTGAAAATATTCTAATTTTAGAAGTGTGCACTTTTCAAGAGTCCTGATTACTGAGGAACATTATGTCCTAATTAGTCTTTGGGGGCCAGAGTTTGCCACCAAGAATCAGAGAAATTGCAAGTCATTTCTGCAGCTAAGATTGCAACAGGGAGAAAAAATGTTTCTGTATCCTGTTAACTCTTACTTGCAAAGCTTTCTTGTTAAATAAAAAGGTCTAGTAATATATTAGGCATCACTTTGACAGCTGAAATACAGATTAAGAATTCTGTAGGGACTGACTTGGAATTCCACAGCTACAGGCCCTGGGGTTTGATGCACAAGTCACATTATGGGCCAGGATGTTAGTGGAGCCCCTTATGTGTAGTTATGTGAAGGGCCTTGGTTATTTTTAGTTTGGTGTTGCCTTGCAGCTTTTATACGTCGTTTTTATTCATGTGTTTTGAAGCTGCCCATTGTTACTTGGTTGAGTGCCCATGTAAATATTCTAAATAAATAAATACATTTATAATGCATCTTGCTTGCTTTTAGGTTAGTGCAATGTGTGATTCCACTTATGGTGGCTTACAGTTGTGTCCAAAGCAGGTCTCTATGTTCAGCAAACCATTCTTTAACATTTCTGGATTAATGAGATGCTCTTCCCAATTGGTATTTGCCCTATTATAATACACTGACTTGGAATTTTGTATTTTATTTTTATGTTTTGGTTTTTAAACTTGTACACTGATCAGAGTCCTTCAGGGCTGGGGCAGTTTACAAAAATTATGGCTGGCAGATCTGTCAAAGCCCAGGTCTCCTTACGATTTGGTAACTTTCAAAGAGTTAGTAAACTGAACTCAGACAGATGTCTAGTTTATTGAAGATTCATTAATTATGAAACAGGCCAGATAATAACTAGAACAGAGATGGCAGAAATGTAATAGCAAGGATATTCAAACATGAACAAAAGCACATTATTTCACCTGTTTAATGGAAGTGTTGATTCTGAAATGATTGTACTGTATGTATAAGAACTATACATCCTTGAGTACCTGTCCAACAAAACTGTCCTGGGAAGTGAGTAGTTACAGAAGTAAGACTTAGATGGTAATATAGTGAGATCCTAGTAGTAAATACATACTGTAATAAGTTTGCAAGGGACTTAGAAGATAATGTCAGTTGTATCTGATGTGAAGTTATTGTCAGTTTGCCAGTACAGTTTCAGTAGAGGTTTCTAAAGCTCTGTCTTGTATGACTTCAAGTTCCATTGATATGGGATATGGGCAAAGTATTGGAAGATGCAACTTACCTTCTGTTGTCTTGCCCATCATCAAGAACGTTTGGCTTGGTCACTTAATCTCTTTTGGCATAGGATGCTGTAAAACAGGATTTTTAACATCCCATGATGTTCCATGTTGGAGAATTCGACTCCAAATATCTATGAAACAAATGAATGATCTCTGTCCATTTCAGTTTGGCCTCATGCTTGGATTTGATACTGACACTGTTCTGGTCACCCTAATGGATGTTCTCGATTAGGAGAGAGGCAGAGAAGATGCAACCTTGTTGATAATCTTCATTTCTCTGTGGCTTGATACCATCCGCCATGGAGTCTCTTGGTAGCTTGGGAGTCAGAGGCATTGTGAATTATGGTTAAACTTTGATCTGAAGAGTAAGTTTCAGAAAACAACACAGGTGAGAGTTTGTTTAGCTGTAGGGCATTTGTGCCATGGAGCCCCAGAAGTTTATTGTGCTCTGGAGTCCCTCATACTTATTAACATCTATTGGAAACCTTTTGCTACGATCATTATGGGATTTGGGAGGAGGGGGGTCATTCATGCAGGTGAACTCCAGCTCTATTTCCCCTCAGACAGCTGAGTCAGTATGGATGGATTGAGGACTAATCAACTGAAGATGAATCCTAATCAGACAGATGAGTTCTCACACTTAGGTATGCAGCAAGTTGTATTAAAGAGCAAATGTCTAAGCTGTTAGGATGAGCTAAATTCTTTGTTCAGTGCTATTTCATTTGACCCTTTAGATTGTTTCAAGGAAACTAAAACAGTGAGATGGGGAGGAGGGGTTAATTCCTTAGTGGCTTGTTGGTTTATTTAAGCTTCTTGGTACTGATGTTTTATGATTAAAGACAATCATAAAACTGCCTCTGCTCAGACAGGGGATACATTTAAGGGTAGGACCTGTTTAATCAAGACTCCTGGCTAAGAACGAGTCAGAGAGTTTCATGTTTGTTTGAATGCAAATGAAATAGTACAACTGGGGGCGGGAGGTCCTTGTTTAATCATTATTGCTAATTGGACAGAGAATTCTACATGCATTCAAGCAGGCATGGTGAAGCCATGAATGAGAATGCACATACTGTGCCATCCCTCTTACACAAAAGTGCTTTGCACAGATGGAATGCCTGAACAGGAGCAAATTGTGAATTAATTCAATTTTCAGATCTAGTTTTCAACCAAACGTTCTTACATTAGAAACCACTGAGGTGCTCCAAAGTAAGGGCGGGCAACATCTGTTGTTGGACTGGAGCTCCCCTCATTTCTCACTATATCGTCATTAAGGATGTATGTGGGATACTGAATTATACTTCAGAAATATGGAATTTGATACCTTAGGAAGAGCTCTGGCTCTTTCAAGCCTTGGGTTCAGCTAGGAGAACCATCTACGTAGGTGAAAAGAAAGGAGAATTCCAGATGTTAAAGAGTGGATTCCAGAGATGTGTTCTTCACTGATTTTTGAAATGTCTGGATATTGTGGAAATCAGGAGGTGGAGCAGGAGGTAGATATTCCTATTACAGTGATTGAACAACCAACATAAAACTGCAAAACACATAGGAGAGAGAACAGAACAACAGAATAACAAACCCCTTGATATTACAGTAGTGGCATGTTTCTACGTGATCTAAATTTAATAATATGATAAAGGGTTGACCTAACTGTATGTTAATACTACATGGATCTTTTTCTTTTATAAAAAAAATAGTTCATATTCTCTCTGACACACACACACAGATACAATTGTACTATCACTGTTATATAACTGTTATCTCTCTTTGTTAAATTTCATTAATAAAATAAAAAGGTAAATATTTTAAAGACCTCCTGGAATGCTAGACAGGACTAAAGGTACTGGAAGCCATATATTGCTCACCTCTGTTCTAAACCAGAGGTAGCCTATTTATGGCCTTTTACACACTGCAAGTCCCAATATCTTGGACCACTGGATGATGCTAGCTGGGTTTCAGCAACATCTGGAGATGTTTTTAAATCCAACACATAGGTTACATTGTCTTTGTCTTCCTCACATAGGTTACGTTGACATTGGCCTGATTCCCAAAGGCGCAAGACACATCAAGGTGGTTGAAGTGTCAGAAGCGGGGAATTTCCTTGCGCTACGAAGTGAAGACCCTCAGAAGTATTACCTAAATGGAGGGTTTATTATTCAGTGGAATGGAGATTACAAAGTGGCAGGAACAATATTTCAGTATGGAAGAAAAGGAGATTTAGAAAACCTCACTGCTTCTGGACCCACAAATGAATCCTTGTGGTTACAGGTATGCTGGTGTGTCAAGTGAGAAACAGGCACTAGCTAACTGATGGGTGTAATGTGGAGTGTGAATGTAGCGCAGAAAGGAAATTTTCAACATTTGCAGCTTTTCTCATCTCACACGGTTGTGCTGCTGCAAATAACAGCTTGTGAACTGGATCCAATGTGACCTACTGCAGCTAACTTGATAGGTGCCAATTTTTTAACTGGACCTTGTAGGATATTATATGTGCATAGTATATATAAATTTAAATGAATGAATGAATGAATGAATGAATGAATGAATGAATATGCTCTGTAACAGCCAATGGGAAGTATACCTTGGAGAAACTGTATCTTGTGGTTCCTGCCTAGTGAGACATTGTTATGGACTCTCTCAAAAGTCAGCAATATTTATATACATCCCTTAATTCAGTCCACTGTTCAAATCTTAAACGACATGGAGAAATCTGTTCTCTTCCCCACATGATCTTCCTACAGAAAACAGCAGAATGTATGGCCCTGCAATGAAATGTTGCAGAGGAGATTATTTCTGGCCAAGCTATCTCTTCTGTTAGTTTTTCATAGTTTTAGAATTCCCTGTCTATACCTAGTTTTCATTGAATTGCTTGCACTGTCTCCTCTACTTCCCTTTTTTCTCTTTCTCTCTCCATATATCATTGTTGAGGAATAGGTACATTGTCCAGTGTACTAACAGATGATCAAATTAATATGCTTGGTAATATATCAGATTAATTTCTCAAGGTGCAGTTACTGTGAATGGGATGTAATCTCCAGATAATTAGAAGGTTCTGTCTCCACATTTTGTTTCTATGTGTCTTTTCATCTGTCTTCTTTTAATAGCCAGCCCATTCATTTTAACTTTCCCAGTTCTTGAGGTTTCCCTCTCTTAGTCACCGTTCTATAGATGCTGACTATCGATGGTTCCCACTAAGGTGTATCAGGCTTTTTTGTCTCTTGGGATTTTTCTTTTACTTTTGCAAAAATCCTCTACCCACAATACCTTGTTCTGATGAACTACCCTCAGACTAGGCATTTGGTCTGGAAGGCCTTCTAGAAAACAGTCCTGGTCATTTTCCTGCTATATTGCCCCCAGTCTACTGGTCTCAATGTCACTCTTCTCAATCTATCACCAGAACCTGATTTCACTCTGCCTCGTAACTGTGTTTTCCCTACATGTATTTATTGGTCACTTTTTTCTTGTTCGGAAAACAAGAAGAAGATTTCGGTGCTATTATTTACAGCAGTAGAACATATGGCCTGCAGATGTTGTTAGATTACCTTTTGCAGGGGCTTATGGAAAGGGTTGTAGGTTTTCTACCTCTTTGATTGAACACATCAAAATATTAGAGCGGCCAGAGCTGGGACGCAAGAACAAATGGAAGCAAGGAGATCCAGAAAACTGTAATTCTTTCTGCCACCTTGTGTGAGAGATGGTGAGGAGGCTGGGAAGGAAACAGGAGGAACTCTAAACATAATCCACAGATGGGAGAGGAGTTTGTTAGCAGTTTATATCTACACAAGTCGAGGTGGCAGCCATGATGATGAGACTGAAGTGACTGCATTAAAAACAGGTGGAGTTTCAATCATACTGTTGTGGCCAGCATCTAGACATTTTTAGCACACCCTGCAGAAACCCCCACATATCTACAGTTCATACCAGCTTGCAAGAAGCCCTGGGGGAAGAGATTCAAATTGTTCAAGGAGACTTCATCTTAAAGAGCACAATAATTTATTTATTATTTTCCCCAAACTAGAGACTCAAAATAGCTAAATAGAAGAGATCTGGAGTGACTCCTGTAGTTTCCAGGATGAATACTTTACCTTTAATTCTTATATGAAAACTCCTTTTTGAGGTCTGTGTGATTCTTGCTTCCTTGGTTGTGATCTGTGGTTTGGCTCATGGTCTTCTGGATCTTTGTAGCCCCAATCTGGTAGTCCTAAAAATAGAGAAAAAGAAGAGAAGAGAGTATTCTGGTTCGACATCATTTTGTGATTAAAATGTACAATAAATCTTGTTCAGCTCCTTTTTCAGGAGAACAACCCTGGAATAAAATATGAATACACTGTCCGCAAAGACTCAAACTTGGAGAATGAAGTGGAGGAGCCTGAATACTTTTGGAAATATGGAAGCTGGACAAGTTGTAGTGTAACTTGTGGCAATGGTAAGAAATCACGATGCTCCAAGTTCCTTTCCTCTCTCTTGTCAGCTGCTTTGGTCTCACCATTCAGTATTCTAACAATATACTGACCAGGGTATAATTAAATTGCTCTAGAACTGGCAAATAGTGTGTTATTAATACCTAATTTACATGCTCTTTGAAAGGCCATCAATAAAATCAGCATACAGAAAGCTACACTGTGTGTCTACTAAATTTATTTATCTTAACTAATAATCTATTAGTTAAACTTCAGGAAAACAATGGTATTTTTCCTACTGCAGGAGATAAAAGCAGCTTTTGTTTTGCCCTATTTTAATACAGATATCGCACTGTAAAAATCAGCAATCTTTTCACATTTTTTTTTAAAAATAAGGGTAGAAAGCATTTATATTAGCTCTGTTCAAGCTAATAATAACTGATGAAGTAATTGCTGGAGGTGACTTCTAGCTGCCTCTGTGGAGTGAATAAGGTAGAAAGAGAATTTCACTCTTGTCAGAAACTGAAAGTATGTAGTGAGCAGAGGGGACCTCAGCCAGCATCAAGCCTTCATGCATTACTGACAGACTAGCTACCGGGTACTTGGGTTGGAAGGTCAAAATGAACAGACCTCCCTGCCCAGAAGCATATATGCACAAATCTGTTTGTAAAATAAAAGCCAGCTTATTTTGAAGCCTGGCAAGCTACCTGTGCTTGATCTCTTGTCATTCAAGAAGAGGCTAACATCCCTCACTTGCTGCCCATGGTAACTGAGATGCCCTCCTTGATGCTGCTGGTTAATTTCTGGTAATTATCCTTTCTTCTTGATTAATTCTTATTACCAACTTACTTCACCATTTACATCTGTACAAAACAGTTCCTATGTACTGGTCTAGTTTGAACTGAACGGAGGGAAGAAGGAAGTGTTTGTAAGCACAGAGATTATCAATCTAATCAACAGGAGGCATGTTAGATAGAGACGTGTGAAGTAAATACTTTAGATAAGAAAGGAGATAAAAGCGCCTCTACTATTTATATCTATTGCCCCTAGTTTACAAGTGCAGAAAACTGGTTCATGTAAAGTTGAATTCCAACAGGGTCAATCTGGGTTTGCCTAACCTGATGACCCTGAGATGAGTTGGACTTTGGTTCCTATATTTTCCCAGTCTGCATGGTTATTGGGGGATTTTGAGGAACTAAAGTCCCACACATCTAAAAGGCAACCTATTTATTTTCTTCTGTTTCCTCTCATCTTTTCATTTCTCTTTCCATTTCTTCTTGAGCTTCTTCAAGATCTTCCCTAGTGATCCTTTAGTACTGGCAGCTTCTCCTTTCTTTTTGAATTAAAAATCCATTATGTGGATGGCACAAGGCCATATCAGGAGTAGAAAGAATTTTTTAGCTGGAATGCTAAATGACAATGTTAACTACCATTACAGTTCCTTAAAAAACTCTAGGACACACAGACACACTCTGCAATGATATAAGTGAAGTCCACTGGAGCTGGGCAGCCAATGAATTTAAATAAATAAATAAATAAATAAATAAATAAATAAATAAATAAATTTAAAAACTGGCAGATGCTTGGTGCGGGCATTTGGTGTTAATGGCAAGCAGGATGCCCTCCTGAAAATCTGTGTACTCAGCCATTTCCCAGCAGTGCTAACCCCTAATATGAGCTACTGCTACACACAAATATGTCTACCTTCTTAAAGATAGTCTAAAGTTAGAAGTTTTACATTTTTTATTTTTTTTCTTGTAGGGTTTCAACGACAGATTGCCCACTGTATGAAAAAGGGGAAGAGTGTGGTGAAAAATCTGTTTTGTGACCCAGAAACACAGCCTACGGCAAAACAAAAAAAATGCATTGAAAAAGATTGTCCACAAAGGTACGCATGCATATAATACAGAGGAAGGTATTTTAAGATAATGATGACAAATCAACTATAATCTTTCTCGGAAAAAAAATTGTTCCATCCCAGGCCATATAAGATTGCAGAAAAATCACTATCCAAATTAAAGAAAAATTAAATTGTGTGAGAGATCAGTAATAATATGAGAATGGGTTAGCAAAGTGAATTACACAATGTTTTATCCAGCATCCCTTATTCCAACTTTTTGTCAGCTTTTGGCTAAGTCAACAATTTTCTCAGGTAATGATCCAGAATCTGCATTCATTCTGACAATAATGAACTAAAGCTTTCAGAAACCAGCAGGAGCAGTAGTAAAAGGTGAGGGGCAGTTGTGTCTGCAGGGAGCGGCTCCAAAAAGTTGAGAAGAGGCAGTTTCAACTGTGCAGTTGAAGTCCCACCCCACTGTATATGCACGTGACATTGACACACATACGAAAGGGAT